TTATTCAGATTTAAAGAAAAAATGTCGTGGGCCCCTCGTGGGGATATCTCGGACGATATTGGAGCCATCGTGAGGCCTCAGAAGCCCATCGGAAGTGAAAAGGCGAGACGCGAAAGTCAATGATTCTCCTTCTGATGATTCAGTGGTTTGGGCCTCTCGGGGGGCCGTGGCCACTTGGGGCCGTACTGGGGTTGTTTTGGAGCCTCTTGGAGGCATGTCGGAAACCATGTTGGGCTATGTTGGGCCATGTTCGAGGCCATCTTGGACTCTCTGAGGCCCCCTTGGAGCCATCTTGCGCCATCTTGCACGCTGCTATCGGTCGCGGCCCCACCACAACCCTTCCCAAAAGGTAAGAAGAGTGTTGGAAGAGCGAACTCGCCGAACCACCTAAGCCCAGAGGGCTGGCAGGATTCATCTATAAGCGCATGCGCGGCAGGATAAATGGACGGATGGGTGAAATGTGTGGTTATTGGGTAGTTTGGATAGATGCGTGAAGCCATGCTTGGATTTCTGGACGTGTGATGTGCATGGACGGATAAACCGATGTGTGTAGGACAGTTGGTGTTCACTAGAAACGCGTGCGTAGCGCGCTCGTGGTTCGAGTTCGTCCATTGCGCACTTCTGCTGCACAATGGCACGTGCAGGCTGTTTTTGCAGGCAGCCCTCCGCGTGCTATCTGAGTGCCCGCGCTTCGGTATGAAATCCCCCTCTCCGCGGCCGCTCGCCTTCGTCTCTCCATCGGCATCGATGTGCAGTTGGCTCTGCTGCGTCCAGGCCGTTGATATCCGACGCGTCGCGTCTTCATGTCGTTGTTGGCAGAAACATGTTTCGGCACTCGGGGCGCGATGACCCGTGCCCAGTCACCCTCCAACATGATTTTCCCATTCCGCGGGCCCAGAACTCCCGAGGCCGTCCCCCGTGGGGTACCTTTTCGTCCCAGACGCATGTCTGACAGTCCTGGGCCCCGAGAAAACGGGCCCCAGAGGCCGAAATCCATGGAAAATGCTTGGATTCAACAGAAATCGTCGGCGCCGGGGGGGAAGCGAGAGGGGACTTGCTGTCTCATAAGGCGGAGGGGCTTCTCAGAAGCCCTCCAGCCTTCTGAGAAGCCGTGTCTGTCTCCCACTCTCCAGCATCCGACTTTCCACCTCCACCTCCACCTGCCGACCACCCCGCACTCCGACTCCAGCATCCGGCTTCCGACTCTCCACTTCCACCTGCACCAACTTGACCTCCGACGTCCACCAGCTCATAACTCAGCACCCCGGCCTCGGCAAACAAGGGCCACAAGCACTGAGGGCCTCGGCCCCCCCGCGCAGGCCCTCGAGGGCCCCGCTCCCGGCGGAACCGCGCGCTCGCCTCGCCTCGCCTCAGGCAGCCCTTCAGAAGGCCGGAGGCCTCCCGAGCCTTCCGAGACGGCCCGCCCCCTTTGCCTTCCCCCCCGCGGGCGCGCCGCCGGACAAAAAACATTGCCCCAGCAAAGCACCTCAATAGCAGCGAAGGTGCAGAGGCGGGTGGAGGAGCAGGAGGTCGACACACGGCCGTGCGCACGCTGGCGTTTTTGTTGTTCTGCCAGGGGGCCGTGGCCGTTCGGACCGCACGTGTGACTGGGGCGAGAGCACGGCTCCTGGCCAGAACTGCAAGGAAGCGTCAGAGGGAGCGGCTGCGGGACTGGGCGGTCCGGGGCTCCCCGCCCCCGTGTGGGACTCTGACCGGGCATGAGAAGAGCGCCCACCTGGGCAAAAAGACGGAGCAACTCTGCCCGGATCCACTCGACATCGGCATTCGTTGGGCGTTGCGTAATGTGGGGGGGTCATACATGGGGGGGTGGCGAGAGTGGTCCGAAAAGGTACCCAAACGGTACCTAAACGAGCCCCCTGGGGCTCCGGAGGGGCCCGAAAGGGGCACGAAAGGGGACCGTTTCTGACCCCCCCATTTGTGACCCCCCCGTTAAGCCACGCCCAAATTCGAGTGTGTCAGTCAGGTCCCGAGTCGGTGTTGCTCATCGGCATGACTCTCGCCAGGTGCACTCGGCCGTCTCTGCAGGTCGACGAAGCTACCCCGCCGGGGTGCCATTCGGAAGGCGGCGCCGTGCGCACGTAGAGTGCCCCTGACAGCTTTCATTTACAGGGCGTTTTTCTCAAAGGGTTTTCTGTCCACCCCCAGTAAAACCCTGACCTTCCAGGAGGGCTAAAAAATAGCACTCGACCTAAAAACCTATCCCAGAGCTATTCTACGTCTTGGTTTTAGGCTGTTTCGCCCCGCTTTTTAGGTTTTTAGGTCTCCAGTGCTAAAAAATAGCTCTCTGGAAGGTCAGGGAAGAACCCCTCTTCCCTGAGATCCGACGGCGCGAGAAAATTGAGACATCGGTAAAGATCACGCTCGCAGCCCCAGACCCCAACTTTCTGCGCCATGCTTCGAGCCGGATCGACCCGTGAGGGTCTCCCAGGCCCCGAAAAAGAGGCGAAAACGCCCAGCTCGAAAAAAAAGTCGGACGCCAGGATCTCAGGGCACGGCAGAAGAGAAGCCTCTGGCGACACGCCACCGGGGGACCGCCGGATCGCCGAAGATTTGGGCGTGCGCCCCCGCAGGCGGTGGAGGCGGCGGCGAGCCCCTCCTCGCCCAGCTCGGCCAGGCCCGCGCCGGGCGGGCCTGCAGAGCACGAGCTGCCCGCAGAGGACGCCCTCTCGCGCTTGCGGGCGGGGCGCTCCCAGCAGCGGGGGGCGGGGCAGCGAGCAGAGGGGACGGGCCCCGAGATCCCGGCGTGGCAGTGTCTTCGAGCTGGGCGTTCCCGCCGTCTTTCGGGCCCTGGGACCCCCGCAGATCGGTCCGCCTCGGAAAATGGCCCAGAAACAGGGGGTCCGGGGCTCTGGTCGCGAGTTTCTGCGATGTTGCAATTTTGTTCGCAAGGTCGTATCCCGGAGCGAGGGGATGGAGGGCCCCAGACACCAGACCAAGCCGGTCGGTCCGGTCTCTGGCGTGGCGGTTTGTTCAGGCCGGTCCAGGCCGGTCGGTTTGCGAATTGTCGGCGTCGCCAGCCCGAGCCAGTCGGGCCTCGTGTGTCCAGCGAGCCCCGAGGGAGGTGTTTTGAAGAGCGTTCGCGGAGCGGGGCTGCGGCAATGCCGGGCCTGTCGGGTCAGGCCAGTCGGTTCCGCGGCGGCGGCGGGCCAGTCGGTTTGGTTTCCGCATTAGGTTGGTCGATGTTTGCACTGCCCTGTATTGAGCATAGGCGTGCCAGACCTCTCCTCCTCCTCCTCCTCCTCCTCCTCCTCCTCCTCCTCCTCCTCCTCCTCCTCCTCCTCCTCCTCCTCCTCACTCCCATATATCCTCCTGACCGCCGCGAAAGCTCTGCAGCCGATGTGTCGCGGAGACATGGTGCTACAATTCGGTTTAATTCAGTCTTTTCATTCCTCGTCCTCCTCCTTCTGCTCCTCCTCCTTCTGCCCCCCCACCGTCCTTGAGAGATATCATGCTTGGCCTTTGAGGTGTTGGCAGTGATTAGCCGTTGGCCTTCGTATCTTTTGGCTTGAGACGGACCTCTATGGGACTCTGTACGTGCTAACCCCGTGCTATCTTTTTTGTTCGATCCCGACCTTTTCCCTCAGTTTCGGCCTCGGGAGCCCGCTTTCCAGCCCCGGGGCCATTCTAAAAGGATCCAGATGCAAAACTACCCCCGTGGAGATCGTTGCGTGGTATCCGACCCCGAACCCAGCACCCAGGTCGGTTTGGGAGGTCGCGGCGGCGATCGCGGCGGACACAAGTCGGGGAGAGGGTTTTGTCAAGGGTTTGCCTTGCCTGCCCCTTCCCAGCCCCTCCCCCCCGCTCTGCGATTTGGGTGTGGCTCGTGGTCAACACTCTAGCGACAGAGAGCTGTCAGCAGTTTATGTCCAAGGGGTCGACAATCACGCAAGCAGGAGGGTTTCGGGAATTTGGGGACCGCGGGTTGAAAAAATCATGCGATTGCGGGAGAGTGGCCCAACAGGGAACCCTTGCGGCTGGGCGTTCGGCAGCGGGGAACCAGTGAATTGGGGGGATCGGCCCATCAGTCTCGTTCCACCGATCCCCATCTCCATCCCCACCACCCCAGCACCCCAGTTGGGGATATGCCCCTCGAAACCCGAAGGGAACAGCTCATATCCCCACCTAGGGGGGTAAGTCGGCCAGTGGGGCTCAGGCCGCGCCAGTGGGGCTATAGATCGGCGAGACGACGCTCACCTGCCATCCTCGCGTCGTGGAGCAAATCGCCACGGATGAGGTTTGGTAAGTAGTTTTCGGCGCTTGGGGGCCTTCCCAGGCCCAGGGCCGTGAGAAAGCTGCAGGCGTATTCATAGTTTGCTTATTAGATCGGTGCCGCCATGCTTTCTATGCCTGTCACAGACGCGCCATGGGCCAGAGAAACAGCGAGCGCACTGCCTCCTGCGCGCGGAGCGGTGCGCGCGAGAACCCCCGCCGCCGCGGCAATGCGTTGCCCGCTCGAGGTTCCGAGACCTCGCTCAGGGGTTCAGCCGGCCCCCCTTGACCCCGCCCACCCTGCGCCCGCTGCCGCAGACGGCGCGACGCCCCGTCCCCACACGGGGTGGCGTGCCTGCGCCGATAAGATGCAGGATCCAGCATGCTTGCGCTGGCGCCTGCAATGACAGGGCGACGCCTGCACCTTATCATTTGGCGTGCCAGAGGCGCCTGCGCTTTTACAACGGGCGGTGCCTGCGCTGATTAAGCCCATGTCCGCGGCGCCTGCGCTAACAGCGCAATAATGAGGAGACGCCCGAGCCCTATTAGTTGATGTGCCCGCGGCGCGCGCGTGTTGGCCGCGCGCAGCGGCCGCGCGGACAAGTCTGCTGCCGTCGCGGCGCCTGCGCTGACAACAACTCGGTGGCGAGGCGACGCATGCACCACACCATTTTTGCCGTGCCTGCGGTGTTTTCGCCGAGTCATGCGCCGGCGCGGACGAAGCGGCAGCGCCCACGGCTCGCGCGCGATAGCGCCGCCGTGGCGGGGCGATGCCTGCACCCTCGTACTTGACGTGCCTGCGGTGCCTGCGCCGAGTCACGCGCTGTGAGCTCCCGGCAATGGCGGGCGCGGAGCGGAGCGGCGGTTGGACCGCGCGGCCTCGGCGCGGCGTCGCCAGTCCTGCGCGGAGCAGGCAGCAACCACCTGGGCGCGGAAAGTGTCGAAGCCCGCGCTCGCGAGGTCCGCTTCCTGTCTTTGGCTGACAGTCGGCATCGCAGTATGGAAGGCAGGATTGATCCGAAATGGCCACGGACGGCATCGCAGCGGACGCGAGGATGACGGCGACGGCGGTGACGGCGATCGCGACGAAGCGGGACCCTCGCGGCCGCGACCGCGGTCATCTACACTGCACCCCGCCGCGCGCATCGGCTCTCGGTAGGGCATCCCTGCTTCCTTTGGATGATAAGATGGAATTCGGAAACGCCCGCGCCCAGGATGGAGACCCGGTCCCCAGAACGGGGAGGAGGAGGAGGAGGAGGAGGAGGAGGAGGAGGAGGAGGAGGAGGAGGAGGAGGAGGAGGAGGGGCGGCGGTGGATAAGGAGGATTGGGGAGCCACGCTGCGAAAGAATCACGACGCTGGGCCTCTGGGGCTTCATTGAAGGAAGGTAGCTCGAGGCGGCCGCCGAGCGGACCGCAAGCTGCGGCCGCGGGCCGGACAAGTGCTCCTCCTCGTCCTCCTCCTCCTCCTCCTCCTCCTCCTCCTCCTCCTCCTCCTCCCCCTCCTCCTCCTCCTCCTCCTCCCCCTCCTCCCTTTGATCCCCCCCCTGTCAGCGAGCGCCCGATTCTGGGGGGGGGGGGAAGCGGGGAGCGCTCGCCGGCCACCGGGCCGAGCGGGGGAGCCCGCGAGGGCCCCCGAGCCGCACGCGCGCCGTGGCAGAGGTCCAGACGGGGCGGTCTGCGCGTGGCTCCGGCCTCCGGTGGCGGGGAGCCCCCGCGGGGCCCCTTGGGGCCGTCAGCGGACGGCTCGGGTAGGGGGCCACACGCGAACCCTACCCCTACTTTATTAGTGGATTGAATTGGCTTCAGGGTTTTAGCCGCGCAGCCACGCAGAGGGCGTGCGTAGCGACGCCCCAAATGCTCGTTCTCCAGTACTTCTACGTGGCGGCGCCCCCGCAGGCACGCAGAGGGCACGCGTGGCGACGGGGGCGTCGCCACGCAGAGCTTCTAAAGACCAAACATTTTGAAAACCAATTGTTTCCACTACTAAAGTACCCCCCACGATTTCTGAGGGGAAGGGTGGGGTTCCCTTCGCTCGGGAGCTCCCGAACGAAGTGAACCCCACCCTCCCCTTCAGAAATCGTAGGGGGCAGGGGTAGGGTTCGCATGTGGCCCCCTATTGGGGTGGAGGGCCAGGGCAGGGAAAAGGACAGGGCCCATTGTGATCCGTTCGATCCGATTCGGAATCGGTTCTGGCCTGTTCGGATTCCGATGTTCCAGCGATCCGGTGCGTCCTGATGCCTGCATGGCGCCGTTGTGCATCCTGGCGCGGCCGATCCGATTCGATTGCGGCTGTGTGCCGATGCGACCCGATCCGACGATCCGTTCCGACGTCCCGATTCGATGATCCTGGGGAGGTCGGCGAGACCACTCGGGGCGTCCGTCGTCGGGGGTCTCGGGAGGGCGGCTGGCCGCTACACACACGCCAGATGATTGCAGGTTCGGCTTCTCCTGGAGGGGGGGGTCGCATTCGGGTTTTTTGTTCGGGGGGCGCGCCTGACGACAGAAAGACAGCACGCGGCGCTGGCGGGAGTTACTCGCCAGGTTGACGGTGAGAAGACCTCCAGGACGCATCGGCATTTGCCACCTCATGTTAGCGCAGTGGGGAAACGAAGAGGGCAAGGAAGAGCATGGCAGCTACCACTGCAACACGAAGCACCGTGCAGGAACAGGACTGAGTGGTGCCACATCCGCGCTTCAAACCGAAGCACTGGCATTGGAAGCTTGCCCAGGCTGGCGCAGCGAAGCCCCAGCACGATTTCGCGCAGGCTGCGGCCCATGCGCGCAGCGAAAGAAACAGCAGGGACTTGGACCTTCGGCGTCGTGCGCGAGTCTGCTACACGACGTGGCCCCAGAGCTCCTCGACCCCATCCCCGGGACCCGGCTTTCGCCGTGCGCCGTGTTGCTGATGGCCCCCAGAGCTTGAGGCAAGGCTGTCCGCGCGCTGCTCGGCCGCTTCGGCTGCTTCGCAGGCTGCCCTCGGCTCGGTCGCCCGGTCGCTGCGCCGCTGCGCCCTTCCTGACAGCGTCCGGCCCGTCGGCTTATAGGCCTCGCTGTCGGCTCGGCAGCCGTGGGCGCCCGTGTGCCGAGGCGGGCCCCCCTGGGGTCCGATAGAAGAGGGGGATAGGCATAGGGGGGGGATGCATCGACCCCCGATCGCCCACTGATCGCCGATGGGGGCCCGATTGCCGCAACCCACCCAGGAAGGTGGTCTTGCGATCGGGGGCGCGTCACCGATTTATCGACGATGCATCGCCGATTCCAGCTCGATGCGACCTCCCCCAATATGCCCGTCCCCCAGATCGCTGCCCCTCGGAAGCCGAGAAGCGCTGGCTGGCCCGGTACTGCTGGGGCGCCAGAGGGCCCCCCCGGGAGGAGCAGCGGCAGCGGCAGACCAGAGCATCGGCGCTTGGGGAGTAGATGTTTTTCGCCCGGGTTGGCTATCGCCCGGGTTGGCTTTCGCCCGGGTTGGCTTTCGCCCGGGTTGGCTTTCGCCCGGGTTGGCTTTCGCCCAGGTTGGTGTTCGCCCGGGTTGGCTTTCAACCAGAGCATCGGCGCCTGGGTGGGCAGGGAGTGTCCCCCGCGCGTTCCTGCTGCGCCGGCCCAGAGGACCGGTGGATCACGGGCCTCGACCTGGAGGGCTTCGGCAGCGCGGGGGGGCCGAAAATCGTGGGCGAAAAGCATGTCCGCATCCGCAGCCTCGCGGGCTGGGCCCCTGGGCCGCAACATCGCGGACATCACCACCCACCAAACCACCCCAACCCAACCCGAAGGCCCGAATTTACCCTCCATTTCCAGTTGGGGGGGGTCGGGGAACGCCGAGAAAACACACATGAAGCCCGTACCCCCCCCAACCCGAAATTCGGGTCTTCGGGTTGGGTTGGGGTGGCTTGGTAGGTAGTCAGGACACGGGGCGTTTCTTCGCGGATGCCCCGCGCGGAACGTGTCCGTGCGACAGCGTATCCGCGGGATCGCGCCCAGGAATCCAGATCACGAGGGCGCGGATACAGATACGTTCGCCGCTCGTGAGAAACCAGAGGTCTCCGTGGTCTCGGTCGGCTCGGTTCGGTCGGATGTTGCTGCGTCGCTGCGCCTTTCAAGGCTGCCTGCGGAATGTGTCCGTTTCGTGGTCTGTCCGGCCAGTGTTCGGTCGCATTGTGGACGATCTTGGACACGGAAGAGGAGGAATTGGACGCGGTTAGGACGAGGATAAATCCGTTCCAGAGAGTTCCAGAACGTTATCGGAAAGTTCCAGAACGCCTTGAGAAGGCCGCGGCGCCCAAGACATCCTCCAGAGCCGCCGGATCTCAGAGGTCATCGTTTTATCCTCACCCAATGTTGTGCTCGTCCTGGCTTCGTCTTACTCTTGGTATCGCTCGTACATGTGCGATCTTACTCGTCGAGGACCATCGAGGATCATTTTGGCTCATCTCACGAGAAAAAACGCTCGAAATTGAAAGATGCACGGGGAATGGACGTCCGAGAGATGGCGAGTATTTGGACACGGAAGGAGGAAGATGGCACATGTTTCCAAACGTTTTTCATATTTTGAGTGCCTCTGGGAAGTTTCCCGTCGTCACGGCTTGGCGCCTCTCGATTTCGTGGTCAGGGCATTCCGCTGGAGAAGTCTGGGGGGATATTTGAAGGGAGCGGGAAAAGAGGAGCAGGAGGAGGAGGAGAAGGAGGAGGAGGAGGAGGAGGAATACGTCCAGCGTCGCCGAGACGATATATATATATATATATATATACAGATATATCACAAATTATCCCAGTGCGACCCTACCTAGGAGTTGGAGCATGTTGGAAAGCAACATCTACATCTACACCGACAGCTACATGTACATCTACACCTACATGCTATGCTATGCTGCGCTTTGTTAGGGTATGCTATGCTATGCTAGGGTACGCTCGGCTGCGCTGTGTTATGCTAGGCTATGATATGCTATACTATGCTATGTTATGAAATGCTATGCTATGTTGCGCTATGCTATGCTGTGATATGCTATGTTAAGGTGAGCTATGATATGATTGGTTATGATATGATATGCTGTGCTAATGTTGCGCTAAGCTAAGGTAAGCTAGGCTATGCTAAGCTAAGCTAGGCTAGGCTAGGCTAAGCTAAGCTGTTTTGAGCTGAGCTAAGCTAAGCCAAACCAAGCTAAGCTAAGCTAAGCTAAGCTAGGCTAAGATGAGATAAGCTACGCTAAGCTAAACTAAGCTAGACTAGGCTAGGCAAAGCTAAGCTAAGATAAGCTAAGCTGAGCAAACATGAGATAAGCCAAGCTAAGCTAAGTTTAGCTTGGCTAAGCTAAACTGGGTGAACCCAGGGGGCGCAACTGGGGGAACCGCGGGGCGGATCCTGGGGGAACCGCGGGGCGGATCCTTGGGGAACCGCCCGGGGCGAAGTCCACTGCCCGGCCCTTTACGCAAACCGAGTAAGAACCCTTTTAGGCAGAGCCTAGGTAGGGAATTACACCTGTGTGTCCGCAGCTTCGGCGTCTGGGGACTGTCTTCGTGCCCCTAGGCCACACACCCCCCCTGAGAAACCGATGCAACTTCTGCAGATCATGTCGGAGCATCGTCCGGGAAACCTCCCGGGGGGGGGGGGGGCTTTTCATCTCAGGTCCGTGTATGACGGCGGAGAGAGTAGGCCAAAGCTTCGGGCTGGCTTCGGTGGGCGGCCAGGTTGCAGGGTGTTTGTCTGGGTTTCGTGGAAGGGGGGGGGGGATCCTGAGGTGGGGTGAGGAACGATCCCAGTTGGATGGTCACAGTTCCTTCTTCCAGATGGCCGTTTAGAGCGACTTTCCTCCCACCCCACGTCTCCCTCGATCTTGTTCTTGGTTCCCGGATTCCTGGGCTCTTGAGTTAATGGTTGTGGCAAAGTGCCCAGGTGTTTGTGACCACAGGCTGAATAGAGAGTAGAGGCTGCGGATCGGAGAGTCGAAAGAGAAGGAGAGAGAGAGAGAGAGAACACAGAACACAAACATAGATAGAGATAACACACCTACATATATAGCAGAGCGAGTTGCGAGGATACATATATATATATGTATATATACAGATGCGTCTATATGTGTAGCAAGAGAGAGAGAGAACGAAAAAGAGAGAGAGAGAGAGAACAACACCAAAAAAACATATGAAAAGTAGAGAGCGGAGCGAGCAGAGACGGTACGGAGAGTAAAACGACTAAGGGAAGTGAGCGGGAGAGCGAGAGAGAAAGAGAGAGAGAGAGAGTAGAGAGACAGAGAGAGAGAGAGAAAGAGGCGGTAGGCAAGAGTGGTTGGCAGCGCCGCGGGAGTCGCCGCCAGAGGGCGGCGCCAGCTGCTGAGGCCTCCCGCTCCTCGTACCGCCTCTTCTCTCTCTCTCTCTCTCTCTCTCTCTGCACACGCCCGTGGCGCTTCAGGGCGCGGCTTGCCCTCCGAGGGGGCCCCCTCGCCGTCCCCGCCCGCTGCCTTGGCCGCCGCGGACTTCGCACGATGACCTCTCCCCAGCGGCGCTGCCGCGCAGGCGCAGAAGGACGACGACGGAGGCGTCGATGCACCACCACCGTGCCAGGCCATGGCCATCCCGGGCCCTAGTATGGTGTGTAGACCCTCCTGGCCTCGGCCAAGAGCGTATACACCATGCCAGGGCCAGGATGGCCCTGGCGTGGCACGGTGGTGGTGTATAGATGTCTTCTGCGTAAGGGAGGATCGGCACTACCACCACAACCTGGCGTCCTCCACGCCTGCATACCGCAGATCCGCAAGTCCCAGCCCCCAGAGGTGGTGGTGTTGGTGGTGGTGGAGGTCCTCGTCCTCGTGGTCGTCGGCCTCGTCGTCGTCGTCGTCGTTGTCGTCGTCGTCGCCGTCGGCTTCCCTTCGCCCTGCAGGCAGGGAGATGGAGGAGCTCGGCAGGCAGCTCCGGGCCCAGCAGGGGGAGGAGGACCTGGCGCACCTGCACCGGGTGGTGCTGTGGAGCGACGCGTGCTTCGCGGCCGGCTTGGCGACGATGTGGTTGCCAGGGGTCACCGAGCGCGTTCCATCAATCGCAGAGTGGCTACTCGCAAACGTCCGAAAAACATGTGCTTGCCTCGACGTAATGTATCGTAGATGCCCCGCGGCGGATCCAGGCCATTTGCGAGTAGCTACTCTGCGGGTAGTGGAACGCGCTTGTCTAGGGGGCCTTCTCCCCTCCAGCCGGAGTGAAAAAGGAGTCCCAGAGGTCTGCGGCAGCTCTCGGGCTCACGGGGCCTCGGCGGAGGAGGAGGAGGAGGAGGAGGAGGAGGGGGAGAGGGAGGAGGAGGGGGAGGAGGAGGAGGAGGAGGGAGAGCGGGAGGATACTGGCGGATTACACAGCCTTGAGGGTGGCTGGCCCCTGTGCGAGTTGGCACCGTAAAGAGCGTTACTTCTCGGTGGTGTCTGATGCCCCTGTCGTGGGGGGATAAAAGAGGCGGCCGCCAACCGAGAGGGGCTCGCGTGCTGCCTCTGTCCGAGGGCGCCGAAAAGACGGCCACCTTTCGAGAGACACCTGTGACAGGTGGTGAGACCCTTTGGGAGTGGGTTTGCCTGCTCGGGCAAGCAATGGGGATGAACTGGTCGTCGGTTGGGCGAGTGCGCTGGGGTCTCCAGCGAGAGCCTCGGGTGGGAAGGCAGGTGGGATATCGGGTAGCGGAGAGGAGTGCGATGATGGAAGACACAGAGGTTGGGGGGTGAGATCGCAGAGGAAATGAGAACGAAAGAGAGACCGATAGAAAAAAATCAGCAGCAGGAAGCACGCATCATACAGCGAAGACCGGAGCGAGAATGTACGAGAAGTTGGGGGCGGCGAAATCTAGTTCAGGGGCGCAGGGGTGCGTGCAACTCCCCGCCTGTGAGCCGAGCGGTTGATTGGACACAAGAGTGGGTTTCCCGCTGTCCAGGCGACCAGAGAAAAAATATGAGAGAATGGCACGGGGGAGTAGACGCGAAGCTTGGACACCCGATTTGGGGCTGCAAGACATCAGTGCCACAAGTAACGCTAAGCCTGAAATGGTCTACTGTCACAACCGTTAGGACCGAATGCAAGATGGACGAGTGGCCCGACAAATGGAGTAAAAGCGGCAATGGGATCAACGGGCTTCAAATATGGAGCGGCACTGGCGGGTGCCCATCAATGGGGTAGCCGGATGTTCAAGGATGATGGGGCAACAGGCATGGAAGAAAGAGGCTGGAAAAGAAGAGGGGGAGGAGGAGGAGGAGCAGGAGGAGAAGGAGCAGGAGCAAGGCACGCAGCGAGAGAGAGAGAGAGAGGAAGAGAGGGAGAGAGAAAGAGAAAGAGAGGGAGAAGTAAGCAAGAACAGGGAGACAACAAGGGAAGCGGGACCACAGTGAGGCCGGGGAAGAAGGGGAAGCAGTGGTGGAGAAACGGATGAGGGGGTGGCTGTGGCGCCCCAGCTTCCTGGCCTTTGAAGGCTAGTGATAAACGCTTGGCTCAAGATGACCGCGTGCATGGAAGCGGGCGAACAGATGAAGGTGTGGAGCGAATCTCAAAAGAAGGAGGGGGCGGGTAACAGGGAAGACATAAACAAGGACAAAGGAGGCAGGGACGGAAGCAGAAGTAAGCCGGCAGAGGATAATGGCGCACAGCAGAACCCCTTAAATGTCGCATCGCAGGCGCGTCTAAGGGATAGGAAATTAATCGATGTGCAAGCTGCCACAATATTAAGAACATTCAGTATGGACTGGTGGCTTAAGAAGATCAAATAGGAATCACGACTGTAATTCTCTGCTACCCAGCGGGGGGAAATTCGTTACGTTTCCCCCCCTGGCAGACCGAAATTCGTGACATTTTCGTTGCTCCGCCCCGAGCCTACTACAAGTTTCGACTCCAAAGGGGCCCACGGAGGCGGACAAATCATGCCCCCCTTCGCTCTTGGGGAGCGCACGTGCCACGCAGGGCTCTCACCAGACGGGGATGGCCACCAAACATGCTTTCGCGCGTGCTGGGTTAATAAATCCTCTGGCGCGATTGCTCTGCCACGCATGCGTTAACAAGAGAATGCATATAAGATGTGGTAAACTGTCGTGGTACATATTATGATGGAGGATTGTGCGGGTAGCCGGGTAGCAGGGGCAGGAGTAGCAAGAGGGATGGGAGATGGAGACGACCGGCGCTGGGGGAGGGCGCATGCAGAGAGATAGGAGGGGGCAGGGAGTTGGGAAGGAGCTCGGGTTTGGGGAGGGCGGGGGCAGGCCGAAGGACCTGTGTGCCGGCGGTGGCAGATGCACACAATGATTGCATGGTATGTTTCACACCGCTCTGTAGACGCGCCCAAAAATTGGAGGCAACTGGGAGACGATCGGGTCTCGACAGGGAACGCCGTGAAGCCAGCGTTTCGTGCGACCCCTCTCAATCTCCTCCCGTGGGGGCGTCCGAAGAATGGGGCAGTACAGGGTGGTGACGAAAGGGGAGCCCAAACAAATTCTTGCCGCCCTGGGCGGTTGTAGAGCAGGTGGGTCAAATCAAGCGGGAGGAATAGCGGGAGGGGCCGCTGAAAGGGGCTGGGATGCCCGCGCCTTGGTCTTCCCAGGCGGTGCTAGGGGTAGCGGGATGAGCTGGGAAGAGCAAGACAAGCAGGGTAGCACAATGGCCGAGAAGGACGGGGTAGCAGCAATGAAGGCAAGATGCAAGAAGGATTGCTGGTATCGCCCCAGCTCCCTAACCTGAGGGGTGCTTGTGAGGGTGCTCATCGGGAGTGCGAGAAGTGCACTCCCTTACCAGCGCCCCGTGCGTCCCTCACAAGAGTCGAACCCCATAGGCTGCGGGAAGCCATCGGCACGGAGAGGGAGAGCGGGAGGAGGGAGGGAGGGGGAGGAGGGAGGGAGGGAGGGGAGGGAGGGATGGAGGGCGGGGCCACGAGGCCGTGCGCACGCGGTCTGGGAGGGAGAGCTTATCTCATGGTGTGAGCAGGTCCTGGGCGGGCGGAGCAGCCGTGTCGCGGTGCGCCCGAGTGCCTCAGCGGAGCGAGAGACCACATCGGCATCATCACCACCAGCATCATCATCAGAATCACCACCACCACCACCACCACCACCACCATCATCATCATCATCATCATCATCATCATCATCATCATCATCATCATCGTCATCGTCATCATCATCATCATCATTGTCGTCGCCATCGTCGTCATCATCATCATCATCATCATCAACACCATCATCATCATCATCATCGTCCTCATCGTCCTCATCGTCCTCATTATCATCATCATCCCCGTCCTCATCAGTATCATCATCATCATCATCATCATCATCATCATCATCATCATCATCATCATCATCAACACCATCATCATCGTTGCCGTCATCGTCATCATCATCAGAGTCAGCATCATCCTCATCGTCCTAGTCCTCGTCCTCGTTCTCGTCCGCATCATCAGCATCATCAGCATCATCATCACCACCACCATCACCATCACCATCATCAGCATCATAATCAGCATTCTCAGCAGCAGCATCATCGTCATCATCATCGTCAGCAGCATCATCATCATGATCGTCATCGTCATCGTCATCATCGTCGTCGCCATCATCGTCATCATCGTCACCATCACCAGAGGTGAACATAGGCAGGGCCCCAGGGCCCAGGACCAGTTTCCACCAGGGCCAGTTTCCTTCTTTCCGATGTCCTATACCGACCGCGAGCCTCGTCTTCCTCTCCCTCCTCCTGCTCCTTCTCCTGCTCCTCCTCCTCCTCTTCATATGCCTCCTCCTCCTTTTTCTGCTTCGCGGGATCCCTGAGCTAACGCATTTGGAGTCTGAACGCGGTAAACAGCAAAGCTCAAAGTATCCAGCTGCCTGCGGCCAGTCCCGCCACCGTGCCAGCCCAGCACGATGGGTGGCGACTGTTCGGGGAGCTCACGTGAGGCGGTTACGTGTGACACCTCGTGCCCCGAGGTTTTGGAGAGCCGCAACGTTTGACACATTCCGTGTCGTGTCGCAGGTTCTTTTCTCGCTTTCGTCGATGTCTTTCTTTTTTGTCCGTCCTTTTTCGGGCTCCCGTGAGCTTTGGGCCGTTTTGGGCCCCTCTCAGGCCATCTTGGGCATCTCTCGGACCGTCGGTCTTGGACCATATTGGCTGTCGGAGGGGGGGTCTTGCGGCCGTCATGGGGCCGTTTTTGGACCGTCGAGGGGCTCTTCTAAGGCCGCTGCGGACCCTTCCGGATGCCCTCTTGGGCCAGTTTCGGGTTCTCTTGGGGCTGTCTAGGGGCCGCCTTGGGATCGTCTTGAGGCCGCCTTGAAGGATGATTGGACAATGTTGGGGCTTTCTTAGACCGTCTTGGACCGTTTTGGCGGCCTCTAGGGTCTTCTAGAGTTGCAGGAAGCTCGAACAGATGAACACGCCCAAATATTCGAAATAACCTAGGGCGAACATGTGAGTGTGGCTTCTTCGGGCCCTACTGGGGCTCCTCTTGTGGCTCTCCTGGACTATCCTGACTGCCTTGGTTGCCTGCCTTGTCCGTCTTGGAAGCTCGGGAGCGTGGATCAAGTGTTTTTTACTGGGGACAGTAACCTCGAGAGCGCAGATCCATCGTTTTTGTATGAGGGATTGTGACCTCGGGAGCGGAGACCAAGCGTGTTTTACGATTGGTCTTGGAAGGATCGTGGCCTTGGGAGCGCGGATCCAGCATTTTCAATAGGGATCATGGCCTCTGGAGGCGGGGCGATGCATGCAGAAGTCTGCTGGTAGAGGAGGTCTCTTAGCAGATGATAGGAGCCTTACCAGACAGCACTCGAGATTCCACCACGCCACAACGTGCCAGGGGGCACGGTGGCGGATCCTCCCTCCCTCGCTCCGCCCTCTCCATCCTTCCCTCCCTCCCTCCCTCTCTCCCTCCCTCCCCTCTGAAGCCTTTCAGGAAACCACCAGGAATCTCCCGAAAGTTGCCGAAAGTTTCCAGAGACTTTTCCAAGGGCATGTCGCCAGACTCGGGCAGAGATTGACACGGCTGCAGTTTGGAGGTGCGGTGGAAGTACAATTTGGTGTCCTTCTCCCCTTCCCCCCCAGGCTGGAACCGAACCCCGTGACCGCGTTGTTCTTCTGCCTGTGGTCGCACAGCCGGTGGACCATGATTGCGCACCATAGTTTGCACGGCGGCTACAACAAGCTGGATTCCACGCGTCAGTACAGCAGCAGCAGGTCGGCGATCGCGAACGGACAAGATCGCTGCCTTGAAACTCTGGCTGCGATCTGCAACCCATGCTTGAACATAGGTCGAAGAACCAAGAAGTACCCCATGGTGTTGTTCGAACGGGGCTAGGACGAGGATAAATCCGTTCCAGAACGTTCCGGAACGCTCTCAGAGCGCTCTGGAACGTTCCGAGACGGCCGCGGCGCCTGAGACATCTTCCAGAGCCGCCAGATCTGAGAGATTTTCGATTTATCCTCACCCGATTTGATCCTCGTCCTGGCTTCGTCTTAGGTGTCTCATCCTGAGAGGTCCGCCGGGACCCACGGCCAGGCTTCTCATGGGGCATTGGGCGGTAGACGGACGCTTGGAGGAGTCAGCTCTCCCCGAGCCTCCGCCCCTGGATCTCTTGCTGACGAACTCTCGGCTTCACTGGACGCAGAACACGCGACGCGAGGACTGCACGCCACCGCAGGCCCAGGGACGCGCAGGTCGTGCTGGCTTCGCGCAGCGGACGGCGCGCCCCCAGCAGTTGGCCCCCGCCTCGCGTCGGTTGCAAGGAGGCCTCCTCGGATCGGCACGGCCGAGCACCCGGCATGGACGGGATAAGAAATCATGCTAACGGAGTTCCCCACATAAAGATGTTACGGGGTTCCATTGCTTCTTGTCTGCGCTCTGGTGGGGCCTCCCTGGAGGGGTGGGAGGGGCACGAAACCTGAAGAATAACATGGTGTGCGAATACCCTGCCCGCTCTGGTGGGGCCTCCCTGGAGGGGTGGGAGGGGCACGAAACCTGATAAATAATATGGTGTACGGATACCCTGCCCGCTCTGGTGGGGCCTCCCTGGAGGGGTGGGAGGGGCACGACACCTGATAAATAACATGGTGTGCGAATACCCTGCCCGCTCTGGTGGGGCCTCCCTGGAGGGGCGGGAACGGCACGAAACCTAATAATAAAATATGGCGTGCGAATACCCTGCCCGCTCTGGCGGGGCCTCCCTGGAGTGGCGGGAGGGGCACGAAACCTGATAAATAATATGGTGTGCGAATGCCCTGCCCGCTCTGGTGGGGCCTCCCTGGAGGGGTGGGAGGGGCATGAAACCTGATAAATCATATGGTGTGCGAATACCCTGCCCGCTCTGGCGGGGCCTCCCTGGAATGTTGGGAGGGGCGCGAAACCTGATAAATAACATGGTGTGCGGATACCCTGCCCGCTCTGGTGGGGCCTCCCTGGAGGGGTGGAGGGGCACGAAACCTGATAAATAATATGGTGTGCGAATACCCTGCCCGCTCTGGTGGGGCCTCCCTGGAGGGGTGGGAGGGGCACGAAACCTGATAAATAACATGGTGTGCGAATACCCTGCTCGCTCAGGCGGGGCCTCCCTGGAGGGGTGGGAGGGGCACGAAACCTGATAAATAACATGGTGTGCGAATACCCTGCTCGCTCAGGCGGGGCCTCCCTGGAGGGGTGGGAGGGGCACGAAACCTGATAAATAACATGGTGTGCGAATACCCTGCTCGCTCAGGCGGAGGGGCACGAAACCTGATAAATAATATGGTGTGCGAATACCCTGCTCGCTCAGGCGGGGCCTCCCTGGAGAGGTGGGAGGGGCACGAAACCTGATAAATAATATGGTGTGCGAATACCCTGCTCGCTCAGGCGGGGCCTCCCTGGAGGGGTGGGACCCCGTGGAGGGGTGGGAGGGGCACGAAACCTGATAAATAACATGGTGTGCGAATACCCTGCTCGCTCATGCGGGGGAGGCACTGGGTGTGCCTGGCTCAGGCGGGTGGGAGGGGGGGGAAACCTGATAAATATAAATAACATGGTGTGCGAATACCCTGCTCGCTCAGGCGGGGCCTCCCTGGAGGGGTGGGAGGGGCACGAAACCTGATAAATAACATGGTGTGCGAATACCCTGCTCGCTCAGGCGGGGCCTCCCTGGAGGGGTGGGAGGGGCACGAAACCTGATAAATAACATGGTGTGCGAATACCCTGCTCGCTCAGGCGGGGCCTCCCTGGAGGGGTGGGAGGGGCACGAAACCTGATAAATAACATGGTGTGCGAATACCCTGCTCGCTCAGGCGGGGCCTCCCTGGAGGGGTGGGAGGGGCACGAAACCTGATAAATAACATGGTGTGAGGAAAGACATGGTATGGTATGGGATGGTGGATGCATGGTATGGTATGGTAAGGTATGGTATGGAGTGGCATGGTATTGGTATGGTATGATATAGTATGGGATGGTGGAGGAAGCGGGAGGAGGAGAAGGAGGAGGAGGAGGAGAGGATGTTCTGGGAAAACAAGAACCCCACTCAGGATGTGGGGAAAGAGACATGTTCGCGTCGTGAATGATTCCCTCCTCCCTCCTCCTCCTTTTCCTCCTCCTCCTCCTCCTCCTCCTCCTCCTCCTCCTCCTCCTCCTCTCATCCGCCTCATCCTCCTGGAGTTGGCAGGCTGCCTGACTATATTCGAGGCTCGCACACCGATGGAGCGATGCTCATACTGACTTCTAAACGGGCGACAAAAATCAAAGCGTTGTCGGCTTTCTGCGGTGCAGCCAGGTTGGGGGGGCCCCGGCAAGACCGAAGGGGGGACACGAGGGAGCAGGAGGAGCAAGAGGAGAGGAAGACCGAAGGGGGGACACGAGGGAGCAGGAGGAGCAAGGGGAGAGGACGAGGACGAGGACGAGGACGAGAACGACGACGAGGATGACGAGGACGAGGAGGAGTATGCGGGGAGGGAGGAGGAGGAGGAGGAGGAGGAGGAGGAGGAGGAGGAGGAGGAGCTACAACGTCCAAGCAAAAATGTGTTCGAGCCTCGAGGGTCGCGTAAGCCGAAGGCGGGGGGGAGGAGAACGACGGGCCGCCCCGCCGGGCTCGGGAGCGGGAGCCTCCGGAGGCGGGTGCTGGCAGCGGTTGGCGCTGGCAGGAAGGCGGGGGAAGGAGAGGGAGCAGAGGGCACAGGGGGAGGAAGAGGAGGAGGAGGAGGAGGAGGACGAGGACGAGGACGAGGACGAGGACGAGGCGGAGGAAGAGAAATAGAAAGAGGGGGGGGGGACGAGGGAGAGGAGGAGGAGGAGGAGGAGGAGGAGGAGGAGGAGGAGGAGGAGGAGGAGGGGGAGGGGGAGAACGAAGGGGATGAGGAGGAGGAGGAGGAGGAGGAGGACCAGCGTACACCCAAGGTGCATTTCAATGATGAGGAGTGGCCCATTAGAAGACAACCGCCTGTGAGCCTTCAACCTTGCCAAAACACGCTTCCTGCGACTTCAAAGTCGCAGATCAACGCGAGGGTGTAGCCTTGGCAACTAAATCGTGGCAGAACACCACTCTTGGGACTTCAACTCCGCGAATCAATAAGACTGTTGCGTCCCCATTGTCGTAAATCTTGCCGGAACACAATTCTTTACGCTTCGCGTATCCCCACCAGCCCATCTCACAACAGCAACTCTTGCGAAGCATGCCGACAGTCGTGTTTTTCAGGCTTGTGTCCGCTTGGCCCCGCATGTCTCCCCTGTTCCTCCTTCCTCCCGCCTCCTTGTACATCCTCCTTGTGGGGGGAGCGGGAGAAGGACGAGGCGGAGGAGGAGGGAGAGAAAGCGCTCCTCGTGGTTTGAGTCGTTTGGGGTTTCTCGTCCTGGTGTGAGTCGTTCGGGCCCTTCTTCCTGGTGTGAATCGTTCGGGCTCTTCGTGATGTGAGTCGTTCGGGCTCTTCGTCCTGGTGTGAGTCGTTCGGGCTTCTCGTGGTGTGAGTTGTTCGGGCCCCTCGTCGTCGTGTGAGTCGTTCGGGCCCCTCCTCCTGGTGTGACTCGTTCGGGCTCCTCGTGGTGTGAGTCGTTCGGGGCCCTCGTCGTGGTGTGAGTCGTTTTGGGAGCCTCTTGGAGGCCTTTTGGGGCGTCTTCGGGGCCTCTTGGCGGCCCCAGGGGCTTCTAGGAGCGTCTTGGGTGCCTTGGGGGAGCCTCTTCGGGCCTCTTGGGAGCCTCTTGGAGGCCGTTTGGGGGGTCTTGGGGCCTCTTGGCGGCTCCAGGGGCTTCCAGGAGCGTCTTGGGTGCCTCGGGGGAGCCTCTTGGGGCCTCTTGGGCGCCTCTTGGGGGCATCTTGGGGGCCTCTTGGAGGCCTCTTGGGGCCTCTTGGGACTCTCTGGGAGGGGTCTGGGAGGAATCTTGGGGCCATCTGTCGGGCGATCGATCACAGATGGGGCGAGCACTTTTCTGCCTCCCCCCGTCGGGGCCAGAATCTTCGTGAGGGGTGTCGAATTTTAGCACTCCCAGGAGTCGAAAAAGACCCCTCCAACGACCCGCGGGGCGCCCTCTCCAGGCCCAGGGGGAGGGGGTAGGGGGAGGGGTAAACCCCTCCCCGAAGGGGAAGAAGGGGGGTTGAGAACAGAGCGGGCTCTCTAAACCACTCACGCCCAAAGGGCTGGTGGGACTAGTAGCAGTCGTAATAGTAGTAGTAGTAGTAGTAGTAGTAGTAGTAGTAGTAGTAGTAGTAGTAGTAGTAGTAGTAGTAGTAGTAGTAGTTGCCGTAGTAGTAGTTGCAGTAGTAGTAGTAGTAGTAGTAGTAGTAGTAGTAGTAGTAGTAGTAGTAGTAGTAGTAGTAGTAGTAGTAGTAGTAGTAGTAAGTAGTAGGAGTAGGAAGTATATAGGAGAGGAGGCGGAGGAGGAGGAGTAGTAGTACTAGTAAAAGTAGTAGTAGTAGTAGTAGTATAGTAGTAGTAGTATTAGTAGTAGTAGTAGTAGTAGTAGTAGTAGTAGTAGTAGTATAGTGGTGTGTGGTGGTGGTGGTGGTGTGGTGGTGGTGGTGGTGGTGGTGTGTGGTGGTGGTGGGTGGTGGGTGGTGGTTGGTGGTGGTGGTGGTGGTGGTGTGGTAAGTTAGTAGTAGTGGTAGTAGTGGTAGGAGTAGAAGGAGTAGTAGATGTCTTTTGGGAGCCTCTTGGAGGCCTCTTGGGGCGTCTTCGGCGCCTCTTGGGGCCTCTTGGGGGCCTCTTGGGGGCATCTTGGGGGCCTCTTGGAG